ATTTCAAAACAGCACATTTTGATGTATTAATGGAAGAATGCGGAATTCTTCAGGAAAAGGTTAGGGAGATGGAAACAGCACCTTCAGAGATGCATAGACATTGGTAGATGATTTATCAAGAACCATGACATTTACATATTTCCCATGGTCGGTAGCAATACTTTTTTATTTACTGTGGTGTAGCATTTCTTTCTCAGACTCTCCACCAGGCTTAACCTCAAGCTGCCACTTAGTTGAGATCCCGGACTACTGATGTGGGCATAATTATGCGATTTGATTTTTACTATATTTTCTGTTTATTTTGTTACTTAGTTATTAACTTCTACCTTTAAATTTATGAATTATTTTGAGTTTCTGGGGAGAGACATTAGCCTGTGCCTGCTCTCACATTGATGTCATTGATTCTACGGAGTATCAAGGGTTTATAGACAATGTGTGCATCATTCATAACCCCTTTAGATGAGGCCACAAAGCTAAGATATTGCCATGAGTGAAATTATTCTTGTTAATGTTAAAATTAGGTAATCAAACTCCTAATATTTTCCCATCTAAGTTTATATTTTCTGATCAATATTGTTAATGGGAAAATTTCAAAAATCTAACCAAAACAGTCCATTACCTTTTAAGTTCATTTTACCATGAACTTTTTGAAACCCCCTCATACCATGGAGATGCTAAGGCGGGTATTATATCAGTTTTCAGAAAAGAGTGGTATTGAATTTGTTTAGGAGCTTATCTAGCTTGGTAAGTGTGGCTGAGTGCAAAAAAATGTCTCTTGATCTTATTGCCTAGTTCAATCTTTTTATCTTGTTGTGCACCGTTATTGTTGATATTTCAGTCCCACGTGAGGGGAAATACATGTGAATGAAAGTGCATGGATTTTCACACAGGTGATTTCCAGACAAACGTCAGGAATACCAATCAGCTCCTGCAATTGTTGGAGACAATCCATTGGGAAATCATACGCCCTCAAATTAACACTGTGAAACAAATGTTCTTTTCAAATCTCTATAAAGAACATCATTGTCTCTCACAAACACAAGACAAATCGAAATAAAAGAATCTAAAAACAAAAGACAATAGTTAAAGGATACATCAAGGCAACAAAACATATTTTTAGACCATGCTAATTTTTCTAGGATAAAGGATATAAATCCATCAAGGTCTTCTAGAGCCACCAGAAAATTATTAGAAAGCTGTGTGCTATCTATGACTTCTAAGTCAGGGTTGTAATAGATAAGGCCACTCAAAAAATAAATAAACTACTAAAATATCTACTTTTCTTTAATCATCTGCTTACTTTTGAAACAAGCAAAAAAATAGTTTAGTTTTCTGACATTCAAACTTAGTTAAGCAATCTTCAGTATCACATTTGTCATTAACAAACAACTAATTTTGGAGACATGCAACATTAAAAAATAAAAATAATCCAAGGAAATGGTATGTGTACTAAAACATGGTATTAAGGCATACAGAGTTTCACAGAAATGATTTTGTATAATTAAAAATCCTCTTAGGAGGACATAGTTTTTTCCTACTACCTCCTTATAAATGTACATCACAAACAAGGAAGCCTGCAAACTCACGGACAATCTCAAAAATGCTCTCTCTCACACACGTACAGTCACATTGTAACTGTAATAATCATGTTTAACATTTTCAAAGAATGTCCCACTAATTGCCTGTGAATACATGTTTGAAAACATTCTGATAGTCTAGATGTTAAAAAAAGATAATAAATAAATCTCTTGCTTTTATAGGGTGACTTATTGATTTCTCTGTAATCCAATTGCCAAAAATCATATTACATCAAGACTCATTAATCTGGCTGCTCTAACAATTTAGGAGTGAATTTGAAAGAGCGTTTTTTTTAGTTTTTGTTTGTTTGTTTTGTTTATTTTAAAATTGAGTTTTAAGTGATTTATTTGTTAATGGTATCCCAATATACGCTTTACATTGAGTACTACTCTTAAATCATATTTGAACTACAATTTGTTCTCTGTCCTTATGTAACTCCTTTGCTAGTATTGATATACACATAAGTAACTCTTCAGGTATGATTTAATAAATCAATTGATTAATACATTTATTAAGTGCTCACTTTGTAACAAGATTAATAGAAATTTCCTTTAGATACAAATTCTGAACTTGATTAAAAACAAAAAGCGATTCAGTGAATACATTTTACAAAGAATTAGGTGTAAAATGTTCCATTAGACCAACATTGAAAGTAATACATATCATATCTAACATGCCTGCAAAACAAAACCAAACCCACAGCTATCAAGACTCTTAGTGACCCTATATTTTGTTTCAGTGATTATCAATTTGTTGGTGGGTTTTAACTGTTAAACGTGCAGAGAGAAGCTCAATGCCTAACTCATAGCACCACCAGGTTGCTAGCTGATTCTTAATCAACCAATTCACCCAAATTATTTGGGGGTAAGTCATGTGATATCAATTCCTAGGATCAGCTTTGAAACAAAATTATGTTTTCTTAAGCTGTATGTCATCTTTGTATATTAACTATGGAATTAATTTTCATATTAAATTTCATATAAATAGTTCTCTTCCTGAGAAGAATTTAACTCTCAATAAAGGTGGCATTTCAAAAAGTTTGTAGAAAATGGAATTAAAAGATAATTGAACATTTGAATGAATTTTTTGAAGCCATTTTACATAGCACGAGGGTACCTTGTACCAACATTTATATCTTAACTTCTTTCTTAGTATTTATCCATATTTTTTAGGATTGGTATTTTATTATGCCTTCTTAGACGTTTTCAAAAATACCTTACAGAATTATTTACAACAAAATAATATTTTCTACTTTTAATCACTACTTTGCACAATTTTAAAAATCTAAGATTCCTTAATAGAAACTTAGAGATATGTTTTAACACCAGAACATTTTGCCATTTTATCATCCTAGGAATTAATTCCTCATTACTCATAAAATTTTCCAAATATGAATTTAAAAGACTTAAATAATAAGAAAACTGTATGAAATTTGGTCTGCAAGGAAAATACAGTAATGCAGCACAGCTTACCCATTACATCATTTTAAATTGAAAGGGTATTTTTTTCTAATTTTAAAAAGTATTACATCACTTTAATTTAAAGAAAGTATAAAAATGATTAATAGACTCCTTTTTGTGTGATTTTAGTTTTCATTGATTAGACTTGAAAATCCCACATTTTCCATCTCCAGTTCATATAAAAAATAAAGAAAACAGGGAGAATAAGACATTTCAGAATTATTAGATAAATCTGAAGATATAAGTCAAAAAAAAGAAACAGCATTCCAAACTCAGAATGATGATGATGAAATTTCTCATTGAAACAAATGCTCAGACTTTGAACATTTAGGTGAATCTATAGCAAGTGAACATTCTGAAAATTCAGAGCCAATGAATGAACAGCTTAACTCCAAGGGCAAAGAGAAAATACGCTATCGTTGTTCTGTTTAGTCAGTCAAGAGGAAAGATTGCATCACACAACATCTTATGATAATAGCATGAACCAACTTTATTCACAAGCAATAAATAGGGCAGAATAGAATTGCCCCACAGAGTTTCAGAGGGTAAAATTTTGCCGAAGCAGACTGCCACCTGTTTCTCCTGGAGCTGATGGTGAGTCTGAACCTTTGACCTTGGGGTTAGCAGTGAAGCTAGAGCTTGACTATTTTCTTTGATGGCATAATCTGAATGTGATCATATTATATAAAGGGCTTGAAATGGTTTTCCAGGTTTATACATTAAAATATATAACTATATTATATATATATATATGACTATAAAATAAAACTGTCTTTTTGGTAATTGTTAAATATCTTTTAACCCATAAATAAATGAGATATGCATTCATTAGTAATATGTAAACTATTTTGAAAATTGTTTAAATGTTAAGGCACCTAATATATTAAAATATGATTTATTAGATTTAGTTTGATTGAATAATAATTATGAGCATTACCAAACACTGAAAATATATTTAAAAATCAGTATACACTCAGACATTTTTATATATTTAGTTAATTAATATAAAGTGAAGTTTAAGTTATCTTTCTATAGCTGATGTAATTTATTAAAGTTACAGGACATTTCAAAATTTTGTTCTTTATTTTTACCCATACATATCATTTGACTGTTAATGCCTTAAAATATTAAAAACTAATAAAAGTATGGTTGTCTGATAGAAACACACACAAAAAGTCTACTTTTCACATTACTGACATATGAAAGGGCTTCCAAAGAATCATGGGAAATGTTCATTCTTTCCATTCTACTTGTCCAATCACTTTTGCCGGGGCAAGGCCAGGGTCTTTCTTCTGTAATGGCTAAGTTTATGTTTCAAATGGACTGGGCTCTGAGTCTCAATCATCCTACAGTTACATAATGATTTAATTGGATAGTTGTGTAATGACATAATTGCCTAATCATATAATAATCACATCATAATAATGTAATTATCCACCATTTTCAGACCTGGTGTGGTTATCCTCTATTTTCAGATAATTTCCATTTACCATAATTACTTTGTCTTTAAAAACTGACCATGTCTATAAATGAGGAGAGAGTCCATCTGTATTTATTTTAAACATAGAAATTGAAATTATTATGTAGGTCCCAGAGTAATGAGATATGTCATCATTATTAGTTTTAGGTGTGTTCACACCATTTTGGTTCCTGGGAGTCCCATGTCACATAGCAGACCTGCCCCCTCCTCGCGTTCATGGTTGTCATCCTCACAGAAGCCGATTGCCAGAGCTCTGTCCCACCAAGCACATGGTGACTCCAAACTGCCAACCCTTCAGTTAGCAGCCAAGCATGCAACAAAGAGTTTCCACCACTAGTAAATATAGTTAAAATAAAGTGTGGACTTTAAAACATTCTAAATTTTAAAAAAACATTCTACATTTGAAGGAATGTGCAGCAGAGGTAGTGATTAGATGTGTAATGCATATTGCTTAGACTTTACCATTTATTCTAGGGTCTTACCTGACCAGCGTCTACATTTTCACAAATGTATGTCTCATAGTACTGAGAGAACTCAGGAGCATGGTCATTAATGTTAAGAACGTGCACAAACACAGGGACTTCAAAGAGTTGTTGTACGTTGTCTGTAAATAGAAGAAAACTTAATGAAAATATGGGGTTTTGATAATATGTTCTATGGGAAAAATCATAAAAATTTCATCAACTACTGTATGGCACATAACATGTTTTTATTTCACTCTTTTAAAAGCTATCTGAGAAAAATAATTCTATATGGTTCATCTGTTTATCAACAATACAGCTTAGAAAAATGGTTTCTTTTGCTTAACACATTTAACTCCATCAATGCTTACTGAGGGCCTTCTACCTGCTCTGACTGCTTCTTAAAGTAGCCGAAACACAGTCAGGTATACAGACCGCTTGCTGAAATCCAGGCGCTGTTTCAACTATTTGTAAATGAAATGAACTCATTTAATAGATGAATATAAATGTATTTTATTATACGTCCCAATTTTAACCCATTGCCAATAAGTCAGCTCTGTGATACTCATAGTGATACTATAAGACAGAATGAGGCTACCGTATTGGGGTTCCAATGTTATAATCTTTCCAGAAACAGACTGACACATCTTTGTCTTCTGGAGTAGCTTGTGGGCTCACACTACTGACCTTGCATTTAGCAACCCAGTCCTTATTGCCAGGGCTCCTTCCCGCTTAGTTGACTAATAAACACATTGAGATCTTTTCTAAGGTCATAACTCTGTTGGAAAAGATACTTTAAGAAGCCACAGGGTGGGCAGGTGGGGGTGGGGAAAGAGGAGCTGATACCAAGGGTTCAAGTAGAAAGAAATTGCAACACTACTGAATGATGGACTGTTATAATATTTGTAAAAAGGCCCCCAATAAAATGATTTTTTAAGCTACAGTCTGTATTCTGAATCATTACTGTATTGAGTGTAAGATTTTACAATAATATCCAATACCTCTCTAATTATATTTGAAAATAAAGTAACTAGAATAAAACCTTGGTTAAGCTTCATATAGTGATTGAGCTGAGAATATTTTCTAAAGTGAGCCAAGAATCCAGAGCCAATGAAGGTTGACTAGAAAGATAGGTGAGTTACATTTAAAACTGGTTAAAACATGATGTCAAAAGCCAAGTAATAAAAACTGCAGCCATGAGAAAATACTTTCATCACTATTTTGAGCTCACATTTTCAAATGTTAAAAAAAGAAATAAACACCAATATTAACTAAAGATGCTGGCATTTAAGGGTAGTGATGGGTCACTTTTATTTGCTTACTGTCTATTCATAATTTATATGCTATTATGTTAATGGAAAAGAACTTTATTCATCATCTTCATGCTATTTGAGTAATGGAACACACATTTGTAACTGTAATTACAGATGTGCTTATGATAGAAATTGTAATTTTCAATTAATTGTAAATGAAAATGTAGATGGTGTATTACACAATAAAAACACAAGAAACCACAACTTTCTGAAAATACAAAAAATATACAGGATTGATTATTTTGTAACTCATGTCTTTGGTGGCATCAGACTTGGGGTTAAAATAGAGAAGTAAAACCATTAAAATTAACTAGGTGGAATTGAAGAGTTAGAAATGAAATTATACAACAAATAAGACTTACTAATTTAAGGGCTTAGGAATCATAGAAAACTATAGAACACTTTTCTCTCCCAAACCCCGAGTAATGAAATCAGGGAAATTTCTGGCACAAAGGAATTTAAGGGATATTAATCAATTGTTTCAAATTTTGATCTTAATTTTTTTCCTGGAAAATTTGCTTCAAATTACATTTAGATTAAGCCTGTGTGACAGCTCGACATAAAGTATCCATATATCTTCAGAGTTTCATCTGAAAGAATTGAGGAGGTATTAGTCACTTGGCTGGCAGATTGATAAATAGCTTGGGCGTTTAATTTGGGAAGCTTTCCAGGAAAAAGATGCAGCACAATTAACTCCATTTGCTGGAAGAGGGGCTGAAATGAAACAGCTCTTTTCCTCCAACCACTTTGATTGTAATGTTTGCAAGCTTTTGAGCTAGCGGCCAGAGGTAAACTAATGTTTTAGAAACCAATTTATGGGATTCCTGTTTGTTTGTGTTGCATTTCAGGTAGTTTGTTTACATTAAATCAAAGTTTAAGTGGCCAAACATTATTTCTAATATTGAAATAATGAGAGTAGGAAGTTGACACAAATAACTTCCTCAAATGTGGCTTAAAATGAGCTTAATGGGGTAGATTCAATTTAAAATATATATGTGTGGAAAAGTTTACCCATTTTGTCTGAACTTTTTCTAACTAGTTTCACCTTAATGGTGAACTAAACATTTTCCAAAAATGTGTCTTCTGAGAAAAATCAACAGTAATTTTTGTTTTCTAAGAATCTTATTATCTAATTTTTTTCAAATCTCCAATCTCTTCATAACTAAGATAAGAATAGTAAAAGAAATACAGATCACTAATTTTGTTAATCATGAGAAAACTGATGATATTGCATAAGTTTGATGAGCATTACTTTATTGCTATATTTGATAATATTTCTAATTACCATTTAACATACAAATATTATGCATACATATAGTTAGTTGATATTTTTGTCTTTTCTGTATATTTAAGCTTGTTTAAATTTTCTGGATTGTACTTTTTGTCTTTGTGTATTTATAAGACACTTGTTTCAATATAATTTAGTGTACTGCACAATTATTTTTCTTTAAAAATTCAAGAATAATATAAGTTCGTACTTTTTGCTTCCAAAGATAAATTTAAACATTAATTTATTCATATTTTCTAAAATTATGTATCTCAAATCATACTTTTATTAATCTTATTTGTTCCTTTTTTTGTATCCTACTTTTGTTACTTATTTTCTTCTTTCCTTTTACTCAAAAGAACTGATTTATTTTCAAATTAGTTTTGTTTTGCTTTGCTTTTGGCTTCATTTTGTTTTCTGCTCTTTACCTTTATAAAATAATAACTGTAATGCAAATTGTTACTGCTTCAAGAGCAAATTGATCATTGGAAAAAAAGAAAGCAAAACATGTTTTAATAAGACAGGGCCCTGTTCTTTGAAGTTTTTACCATCTCGTGAACTTTGCAAGATTTAATCATCATTTGATATTCTTATCAAATCGATATTTTATTACTACCCAGACATGGTGTGACTGACCCCTGACTGAAGAAGAAATCGCTTCAGAGGAAATAACACACTGGACATGAGTCCGCGTAATCATCAAAGTGGAATTGACCGAGACTCCGCAGAGATTGCTTGGCCCTGAGGAAAAGGTGCAACATGGCACAGTGTAGATGCTTTTTAAAAAAAACATTTTATTGGGAGTTAATGCAGATATCATACCATTCCATAGTTCAATAACATTGAGCAGTATTGTACAATTTGCCACAATCAGTTTCAAACCATTCTTTTCTTTCTTGGGTTAGGTCATTCTTGGAAAATTTTTGTCAAGATTTACTGTTTTCTGGGGGGTAAAAAAATAGTATAAAATTCAACTATGATTAATCAACCAATCCACTGCCATCAAATCAATCTTGACTTATCAAACCCAAAGTCAATCTCCACTCATAGCAACCCTATAGGAGAGGGTAAAATTGCTCTTGTGTATTTCTGAAATTGTCACTCTTTATGAAACTAGCAAAATTCATCTTTCTCCCAGGGAGCAGTTGGTGATTTCACACTGCTGACCTTGTCACCACTACACCACTAGAGTTTCATTTTGACTTGTGGGAGCCCTATATAGGCTTTCCAAAGATGGAAATTTTATAGGAGCAATCAGCCTCATCTTTTTCTCAGAGTGATGAGTGGATTTGATCCTCAGATGATCTCATGGTTAGCAGTCTAACCTGACAGTACCAACCAGGATACTTTAATCTATAGTTACAGGTCATATAATTTAATTTAGAAATATTTATATAAAACAAGGAACAATTTTCATACCCTCAATTAAGGAAAAAGCATTAGGTTAAGATAAGCATAGTTGGTTCCTTGATTCATATTTTAAAAGATGAAACCATTATTTAAATTTCAAGTAGTTGAAAGTTATCAATAAATGCTACCTCACATTCATGTCATGAGTTCTAAAATCATGAACAAAGTGTCATGTAGACTAATAGATGGATGGATGGTAGATGTCCAATCTCAATAAATTGATCAAAAGATTGATTCAGGACAACTTGAAGCAAAATAAAACTCTGTTTCTCTCTATTGGACATTCTTTCTCTGCTTAGTTGAAAAGGAAATAAACCTAAGATGTTAACGCCGGGAGCTTTCCATCCACCTTCGTTCCCTTCTTGGGGGCAGAGAACTATAACCTCAGCTGGCTAGAGACCCAAATGGCAGTTCTACCTTAGGATCTAATGATTCAGCATTGGAAACTCAAGGAAGTCGTTCTACTCCATCCTATATTCTCTATGAGTTGGAATTGATAACTATGGAGATCAGGGGTGTATCAGGGTTATATCCTGAGAAGCTAGGCCATATGAAGAAGAATGTGGTGTCATGATTGGAGGAAGACTTATGAACAGCCTTATTAACAGATGCGATATACAGATGACAGAGCCTTGCTTGCTGAAAGTGAAGAGGACTTGAGTGATTTGCTGATGAAGATCAAGGATTAAAGCCTTCAGTGTGGAGTGAGACTCAATGTAAAGAAGACCAAAATCTTCACAAGTGGATGAATAGGTAACAGCATGATAAATGGAGACAGGCATGGAGTTGTCAAGGATTTTGTCTTGCTTGGATTCACAGCGGATGCTCATGGAAACAGGAGTTAAGATATTAAAAGATGTGTTGTATTAGGTAAATATGCTACTAGAGACCTCTTTAGAGTATTGAAGAGCAAGGATGCTACTCTGAGGAGCAAAATGCCCAGTGATTTAATGCTTACATGTTGAGTTGCGATCCAAAGAATTGGTAGTTCGAAACCACCAGTAGCTCCACAGGAGAAAGCCAGGGCTTTCTACACCCTTCAAGAGTGAGAGTCTTGGAAACTCACATGGGCGGTTCTGCCGTACCCTCTAGGGTCGCTATGAGTCAATATTGACAAGACGGCAGTGAGTTTGGTTTTGATTTACTGTGAGGACTAAGCCACACCTGACTCTAACCATCATACTGTTCATTGTCTCATGTGCATGCGGAACTTGCACACTGCATAAGGAAGATGGAAGAAAAGAGATACATCTATTTGAATTGTGATGCTGGTAAAGAATACTGAAAGGACCGAGGGCTGCTGATAAGACAAACTGATCGATCTTGAAAGAATTTAGGCCAGAGAGCTCCTTAGAGACAAGAAGGGCAAGACTTTGTTTTATTTAATTTGGACATATTGTCAGAAGAGACAGTCCCTGGAGAAAGACCTCATGTTTGGGAAAGTGGAAAAAAAACAAAACAACAAAACAAACCAAAGTCATTGTCATCGAGTTGATGCCTACGAATAGGTACTCTATAGCATAGGGTAGCACTGCTCCTGAGAGTTTCTGAGACTGTAACTCTTTATGACAGTAGAAAACACCATCTTTCTCCCAAGCAGCAGCTGGTGGTTTTAAATGCTGATCTTGAAACTGACTTTTAAAATTTCTTCATGTACATACAGAAGGAACACCTTAGTTTAAATACATAATTTAACAAAATGCAATGCTTCAAATCTAGCCTGAACTTTCGATCATCTCAGCAAATACACACTTTATAATTAACTATAAGAAAGTGTATTAAAGAAGCAACAGGGTTTTATTCCTGGTGAGTCTTAAACAATATCCAGTGTGTGCTGCAGTTTCTCTTCAAAGTTTTCCCCTCCAATACCTATTAATTCATGGAAACATTAGACTAGGTAGTTTCTTTTAATTGACCATTTATACAGGTCATGTAGTGGTTACTCTTTGGGATGCTAACCTCTAGGACTGCAGTTCGGAATTATCAGCCTCACTCTGCAACAGAAAGACCAAGCTTTTGACCCCATAATGAGGTATAGTCTATGAAACTCATAGCTCTTCCCTGCCCTATAGTGTCACTATGAGTTGGCATCCATAGGGTGGCATTAAGAGGTTTTAGTGTATATGTATATGTGTGTGTGTGTGTGTGAGCCCTGGTGGCATAGTGATTGTACGTTTGGCTGCTAACTGTGAGGTCAATAATTTGAAACCACCAGCCACACCCTGGGAGAAAGATGAGGCTTTCTACTCTCAAAAAGAGTTATAATCACAAAAACCCACAGGGGCAGTTCTATCGTGTCATGTATGGTTGTTATGAGTCAGAATAGACTTAATGACAAGGAGGATAATTGTGTTGGTTTTTAAATTATTATATAATATATATATAAAGAGAGAGAGAGAGAGAGAGAGAGCATTTGGAGACGCATCTTCCTTAATACGTGGAAGGCTGTATTATCCACCCTTGAGTTTAAGCTAATTACTTGTATTATGCTATTTAATGCCACTCTTGAATACAATATAATTTGGCATAATTATACTGTTTGATGGATTCTATGATTTTATTATATATGCAAATGTACATATTGTCATTGGTCTATCTTGTCAAGTTGATTCCAACTCACAGTAATACTGTGTTACAGAGTAACATGGTCCCATGAAGGTTTCAAGGCTGTAATCTTTATGGGAGCGAAAAGCCAGCTCTTTCTCCAAGCTGCCAATTGGGTGGGTTTGAATCACCAACTTTTATTTAGTATCCAAATAGTTAACCATTGCAACACTGGGATCCTTTTCTTCATGAATACACATAGGCACACTGATTGAATTGACCGTTTTTATGGACAATCACTGTCTTTACTGCCTCCTCAAATTATCATAATTATTTTGTATAATCTTAATTATAATACTGCATTTACACTCATTGTTAAAAAATAAAATAAAACAAGTTCATCTTGAGATTTTTTCCCTCATAGAAATGCTGAATGTCATGGGTCCTCTAAGAATAAATCATCTAAGTGAGGAAATTGCATATATTTATCAAGTAAATTCTACTTGTAAATAACTCGGGTATATTTTTCTATTCAGTCATAACATGTTGAAATATCTTGTGTCAAGCAACATTCAAAGCACGTTTTAAAGGTTCTACATTCTAGGAGCTCACACTGATTTTCCTAATTTAGAGGGTGACTGATATATTATTATAAAAACTACTATATATACACAAGACTAAAATGGAAAATTAATTCATGCATATTTAAAAAAATAGGATTGATTTGTAGCTGAAAATGTTTGGATTGTGGAACAGTTTGCAAAGATAGCCAGGTGTTCCCTTGAACTCATTTAAATTCTTTGGCTCAATAGATTTATAAAGAGTGACATTATAAATAATTTGTATTCAGAAAGACTCAAGGAATAAAAGTTTCTTGACTTTGAGACCAACTTCTTTGTATTTTTTGACACCAAAAGCCTTGGCATTTTCTTCTCCCATTGTAAAATTTTCTCCCCCACTCTTTGTTGTTTAGTGAAAGGGAAAATTCAAAATGCAGGGCAGAAGTCATCCTTCAAGGCATCCATAGAGCTATTCAATGTATGGCAAAAGATATGTGAGGGGGGCTTTCCACTCACCATATCACCTGTCACCTGGCCACCACAGTCAGGAGGAATAATAAATATAGGTTGAAGTGCTTAAAGAAAATGGTGTCATATTAAATATATAAATATATATATATATATATATATATATGAAAATATGTGATCCAGAACATTCCATTTTCACAAATCTAATTCTCTACTGTACTGTATGCACTTCTGTGATTAAATAATGGGGATACTTTGGGTCATCTTTTTGTGTTTCCCTTGAATTATAATGAATTACTAAATAATGGAATTAATTGAGTGATAATTTTCAGAGCACTACCCAAGCTATACATCTGTATAATTTTCTCCATTTTTTTCCAACCTTTAAAATGAAAACTCTGCCTGTCTCTCAGAATACTTATTCCTCTTGAATGTTGACAATTGCTTTATCAACACAGCTGAACTGATCAAGTTAACTTGAAAGTATCTCTTGATACAGGGATGTAACCAACCAGTGAATGTGTGTTGTTTGAATCATTTGTGTTCTTTTCCATAATAGTTTTATTGAGACTTGATTAATTCTAAATGCTTATGTTTTTGACAGCTTCCATGGCCTAAATTGTACCTTGTTATTTATGTACTAGAATATCTCTAATACTGTAACATAGAATTAGAATAAGACTCATATTCTGCTTTTGAAATGTGAAACCTTTGTGTGTGTGTGTGTGTGTGAAGTTATCAATTCAATCTTACCTGATTATGGTTAAATGGTATAATATTTCCATCTTTTTCAATTATATTAAATTTTCTTTTCAGCCAATAATTTTATTACTATTTGCAAAGTAGCAAAATAATGTATAACAGTAATTACATAATTCTCTAAGTTAAACGTTTTACTCTGAGCAAACTGTTCCTATGAAATCTTTCCAGTAACAATTGTCTTTTCACCTTGGAAAAAATAAATAAACACACAAGTCCTTCTTCACAATTGCACTCATCTTTTTATGAAAGATCATGGAGAATATACATGAAATGTTACTCAGATTAGCATATTGAAAATACATATCCCATTTATACAAACAGATATCGCTATATACATATTAAAAAATTCAAGTGTATTAACCAAGGCTATGCCACTTAAGATGTTCTGATTTATGGAAACCTCTAGGACAAAGTAGAACTGACCCTTTGAGTATCCACCTTGTATTTTTCTAATGTCCCATGATTTTCTGCATTGAAAAAGATTTATTTTATAAAAAATTTCTGAAAAGTATTTGCAAGTACATAAAAACTCAGCAGTAGGGGAGATCAGACAACATTTTTTGGCAATAACAAAATAAAATAACACATTTATGATTGTGTAACTTATTCCAAAAATATTTAAGCTATTTTTCCATCTAATTTTACAAAGAGTTTGTGATTTACAGAATAAGCTGGACCAATCTGTGAATCCTTTAGTAGTACTTACCTTTTTCTGTGGCTGTAACACTTAGGTTGTACCAAGCACTAATCTCCCGGTCAAGAGGGGTGGCTGCAGTGATTGTGCCATTGTCGTCAATGCGGAACATTTTACTCTTGGTGATGGAATAACTACAACAAAAGATACGCATTTCTTAATGGCATTGTTGTCTCTTTATAACTCAGATACATACACACGTAAACACTTACACGTGCATTATGATATGCATGCTCCGTGCATCTAATATAATGCTGAAGTGCTTTCAAAAAGCTATATTAATACATTTAATATTCCACTCAGCTGAGATAAAAAAGTCTAAAAATTACCCAGATTTTAATTGATGTGTCCTCAGTCTGAACACATGTCACTCACTACCATCGCTGAGGAAGAATTTTAATAGGAGAAACTCTTCCTTGGAGAGAAATAAAAAAACACTAATTTCAAAATGAAGATAAGTCCAATAAGTAAGAAAAAAAAGTGATGGTGGTGAGCCTTTGTTCTTTTTTCCCTTTGTAGCAAATACAATATATCCTTAGCCTAGGCTGTTACTGGACTCCTCCCTATCCTGCACAATTTATTGACAAGTCTATTCTAATGTCACTATAACTTAATTCATGCTATATAAAAAGGGATGGGTTTTCCCATCCTCTTTTTTTTTCTATTTAATGAAAATCTGGTAGTATTATAGGATGCAACCAATAAACAAACAAAATACAAAATAAACTAACAAAAAACCCTACATCGTACATATTTCTGTGCTATCAGATAAAATATATTTTAAAAAATGGTATCAAGGTATCCCCTGCTCTATAGCACAAATGAGGTGGAATGAATCTGTCCTTTCTCTTATCCACAAAGTGAAGGATGGTAAATTTACAGTCCTGTTAGAACAAACATGAAAAGAAGCCAAGTTACAAATTCCCTCATACGAAAGCCTGAAAATGATCCCCTGCTCTACAAGGAAAGCAGCCTCTGAAGTCCTCAGTGGGTCACATCTGCTTGCAAACGATTAATAGTCAACATTGAAGCAGAGTGGAAACTGGAGTGCAGGGATGGCTTCTCAAGGGCTGCACGCATGTGTCTTCCTGAAAGACTTTGACGTGACATCAAGGAGCTTTGCCATAATTAGGTGGCAAAAGATGAGATGATTTTAATCTCCAATTGTCAGGTTTGTAAAAATACCTCAACAATTTATAGTTTAGTGTTTAGGAGAGAATGAAAATAGAATCACAGAGAACTTGGATCTAGAATGGTTCAGTGTAACTCATTACTAACCATTTACTAGAATTGAGTTAACTAACAACTGGCTGCATTTTATACTTGTTGATCAAATGAAACAGTAGTGTATCCATGAATATTTCATATTAAACATTTTTGGGAATATCCCATTTCTAGAAATACATAGTTCTAAAAATTTCATCTAAAGTTGTATGGAAAACTGATGTTTAGCAAATGACCAAGCAATTATTTAAAAGTTAGAGGAATAGATGGCACGGTAACTAGGTTTAACCACAAGGGGGGAAAACAGATTTAGACATTTCAGAATAGTGGGTAAGCTGTCGTTGTCTCTAGGTGCGATGGAGTAGGTTCCAACCCACAGCGACCTTCTGCTCCACAGAATGAAACGCCACCCGGTTCTGTGCCATTGTCACAATTGTTCCTGTGCCTGAGCCCATGGCAGCAGCCAAGGTGGTGCTCCATCTCCTTGCAGCCGTCTCTCCTTCCCTATCCCTCCACTTAACTAAACATAAAGTCTTTTTCCAGGGTCTGGTTTCTACTCACAATATGGCCAAAGTTTATAAGATGAAATGCTGCCATCTTTACCTTTAAGGAGCATGCTGGCCAGACTTCTTCCAAGATGTATTCGCTTGTCCTTTAAGTAGTCTGGGATACTTTAAAATTTCTTCCCCAAAATCAGGCTAGACAGCTTAATATGTATCAGTTTCCTTGGCCCCTTCTAGGACCTCCAATTCCAATAATGGTAACTGTCATTGTGCATACGCTCTCTCTCTCTCTACACACACACACACACACACACACACACACACACACACACACACACACGTATATATAGACTGTTCACTTTGTTTTTGACACTTAAGAGATTTGAAAATGAGAAAAACAACTGTGTTGTGCTCACGTTCAACATCATTTCCTTTGCCATGCTCCTTGCTGGCTTCCCCTCGCCCATCCAAAATCATTTTGAAATAATTATAGAATTGCATATATGTTGCAAAAATAGGACGGGGATGTCCCTTACATCCTTCATCCAGCTTCCTCTAAGGACATTTTACTACATTTTAGAACTGTAGTATTATTTTCACTGTATCAAACAAGGAAGTAATTGACATAATGCTCCTGCATTCACGACAGCCTTTGTCAAGAATGTCATTTTATTTTCTAATATCCAACATAGGATATTATTCACATGGAAATTAGAATCCACATCTACTTTAGTCTTTTGCACATATTTCAGTCTTCTTGTCTTTGGTGATTTGGTGAGGTGCATGTGTGTTGTGCAGTTGCTTTGGAAATTATCTCTTTTGATGTATCAGGTGTTTTCTGATACTCGCATTGAGCCGAGGCCTTTGGGAACTAGAGTCCCACAGAAGCGATGTGGCATTTGGAGGACGAGAGCAGAACAGATTTGGTGTGGGTTAATGTTATTATCGGTTAATCTTGGTCACTAAATTATGGTGGGGTCTGCAGTTTTTCTCCGCAGTAAATTTACAAATCTCCTTGATGAAATTAAGAAATAGCTCAAGGAAAATGCTGTAAAATTATCTGGCTTTGTCCTTAAACATTTGTCCACTATTTCTAGTGCACACATACCGAATGGACCACACCCACAATAATTGTCACATTGGTTGCCTAATGATTTCCCCCCTTCTTTCTAATACTGATATTCCTTATGATTCTTTTGTAATAAAAGGTGTTCCTCTTATTTATATATACCATAAACCACGTACATTTCTCAATGTGCCATAATCCAAAATGACTGCTGTCTATGTAGTATGAAAACAACTCCTGTCTGGGACATCCAGCGCAGTCTCTGGGCCCTTTGAACATACTCTCAATTCATTGTTCCATGTGTGCGTCCTTTCTAGAATTGGGAGATGTACCAGGCTCATTTCCCTAGAACAGTTCTGGAATCAACCACCGGTGTTGCCAAGTTGTCTCACTACCTTGGATTGGAAATTCGGATACTATGTATGAACACTGCTTCTTCTTTTCTTACTTTTAGGGCTCTGCGTAGACAGTAGTATGGATAGCATCATACAAATAAAGGTAAATAGCCTGGCTTCAATTTGTATGGCACGCTATTTCTGTGCTAATCTTTTCACTCACTGTTTAATGCACAATTAATTAGTTAGCATTTTAAACAACATACCTGATAGGAGAATTCTTAAAATCTGGATCTCTGGCAGATACTGTGCCTACAGAAGATCCATGTGGATTTCCTTCATAAATTTCAAATATGTAATATGGGAAATGGAAAACAGGAGGCTCATCTTCATCTTCCACCTGGACCTTAATGAAAGTGGTGGAAGCTGCCACGTGATAGTTCTGGAGATGGTCAGCAACGTGGCGGTTTTTAACTTTTGCTCTAATCCTGTGGTGATTCTGATGCTCGAAATCCACTTTCTACAAAGAAATAACATGCAGACAGAAGACAGTTCTCCAGTAAACCAAGGTCATACTTGTGCTCAAATTGTTCATGATGCAATTAGCTTCCATTGCTTTTCAGCTAAAGTTTACTCTTTACATAAGCTCCTCTGATACAATCATAAAGCAATTCTATTACAAATCATTGCTCATATTATGTCATTTAAATATGTTATAAAGTGCTTTGGGACAATAATTACACTTTTCATTTATGATTAAAATTATGGTCCTCAACGCATAAATATTTTATAATATAATGAATTAATTCTCTTGTGGTCAGGAACTTCTTGTAAATTCTGTCCTTTCTTTGAAAATATTCATAAATACGCTGTTCTATACTATAGTCATGCTATAATAGTTAGGTCTGTAAACTCTATAAGCCCCTCCTATCTAGATCATAAATAACAGTATCATTTCAATCAATTAATAAAGTAGAGTGGATGCAAAAGTAATTTTGTGCATTTCTTATTTCTGTTTGCACATTTGTAGAAAGTGAATGATTTAAACACAGCTACCTTTTTTAATGTAACTATCCCTTCTTGGGTCTCATTATTAGTAATGATTTCAAATGTTTGTGAATCATCTTCTTCGACGCTGTAATCCATCTCTGCATTCTCGGGTAGGTCATTATCATAGGCAACGATTGTTCCTATAGAAGTCCCAACGGGGGCAGATTCAGAGACAGACATGCGGTAGAAATCTTTTAAAAACAAAATTCAAGACATTGTGTGTAAGTCGCTGACATACTAACTCACAATATTAACACACTTCATTTACGGACTGCAAGCAACCCACTCCACCATTTCAAATTATTTGTTCAACATTTCTCCAATATTTTCTCCTTTTACTTGTTAAGTGTGACCCTTTTCCTAATATCTTGCCTGAGCCTTTATTAATCTATCAAATTGTATCTCATGAAACCCTATTGCAAGTATGTATAATTTCCAAATTTCTATTCATAAGCACATCTTCTCAGTATTCATGATTTCCATTTTATTTATTGATTAATTTTTTTATCCTTAAACCATCCTAAATTAGATTTGGCTACAAGAGTCTTCAATTTTACCTAAGCTATCCCTAGTGCCTCAATTTACCAACAAATATAAGTGAGCATTAAAGATTATGGAGACTAAACAAAGTATGTGAATTCTAAGTATAACTATTGGGTTTTAATAAAGGAAAGTATGATCCTTTTATCCCTTTAAACTTATTCTAGGTTTCCTTATAATAATTTAATAAGTCACTTCATAGATTGCCTCGTAGGATTGTACTTCTTCCATTTATTTAGAGGTGGAAGGAACATTATTCCAGAGTCAGAAATATTTGATCACCATTACAAATGGAAGAAGTAAATATTGCAAGTCTTTCATTGTAGAAAGATTAAAGAATTTCTTATTTGACTGCACAAATTAGAAATTGTCCACAAACTAAATGAGAAAACGGTGACACTCATAAACGTAAAAGCAGGTACTCCAGAATTTTGTGTTACTGGATTCATACTAGAAAATTGACCCTTCAGCTTAAAAAGCATCCAAAACATCCCTTCACATCATTATTTGTTGTGTGGTGCTGAGGACCTGCTTCCAGCTCATACTGACCACCTGCGTTATAAAACAAAACAATGTCTGCTCCTGCGCTCTTCTCCCAGCCATTGCTTGGCTTGGGCCCATTGCTGTGGTCACTGTGTGAACCAAGGTGGTTGAGGGTTGTCGTCTTCACTGAATGTCTACTTTTCAAAGCATGATTTTCTTCTTCAAGGGTGGGTCCCTTCTTCTAATCTGTACAAAAATTTTGAGTTTTGCTATCCTTGTTCTGAAGGAGTATTCTGGCTATATGTCTTCCAGACAGATTTGTTATGGTTTGGGCAACAATGTTTTGTACCAACATTTAATCTCTAGCATTTTCCATATTTATTCAAAAATATATTTGGGAAAGGACGTGTAGAATAGCACATTGAAAGGAGAAAAGGGTAGGGTAGACCAGTCTAATTAGTAGACCAGTCTAATTCCTGAGTCTGAGTATTTAAAGGTAGAGGAAGAGGTAGAGGTGTGATTCTGAAAAGGAGTTGATGCGCCTGATGCTGCTGAGATAAGAGGGCCACGTGTAAAACTCAGCAAAAGACCGTAGCTTCACAGGTAACAGTCAGCAAAAGAACACGCTCTTAGTGCCAGAATGACATGGAACTGAGTTTGGCCAACATGAGAATGAACAAAGAAAGGGAGTCTCCCTTTCCACCTTTTCTGGCTCCTTGATCTCAGCTGAATGAGGCCTCAGTAAGACATCTGTAAAACAATATGTGTAATTGTAATCCACAAAATGGGTCGTAACTTGTTACTGCAGCGATGGAAAACTAACACATCACTCTTGCATTTGTATTTCCTACTAGTGAACTCGTATCATCTTTGAACAATTATTAAAACAATTGTATATGGTTCTAACATTCCAGCGATTTTAGACAAATATTAATATCTGCACATGTGCAATATGCCCACTCATAGTTTATAAAACAATTTCCAGGATGTTTTCTACTTACTTTCTTTAAATATAGGCTTATTGTCATTAATATCAGATAGTTTGATTAACACACTGGCTGTTCCAGTAAGTCCTCCAGGCTGACCGATCATGTCCTTGGCTTGAATAATTACACGATGTTCCTCTTGCAGCTCTCTATCCATTTCTGAAAATATTCTTATGACTCCTTTACAAATGGAATAGAATGTCAATTATTATTTCAATATTATCATAATGCCTTACTAATCTTAGAAATCTTAGGAACCACCAACTAGAGCCATTGTCATTGGGCGGTATTTGTTATATAACCATCCATCTCTGAATGACACCTCCCTAGCTAAGTTAAACTATGCAATCAGCCTGTTGGCATATCCTGAGCCACTACAATGTACCAGACACTTCCCCTGAGGAAAGGATCCAATTATTTATGAAACCATAGAATATGCTGCACATCATATTTTATTAATATATCTCAATGGTGATTAGGGTTCAGATTTATTTTTAGTTGAATGTTGAAATAAATTGTGTTTATCTATAACAATGCAGTTCTCCATTGCATTTTAAATTTTTAACAAGAGTTTAAGTTTGTAAATAGCTCCCCTTTGCAGTTCTGTTATTTGCCTATTTTAGAATCATATTGGGTTATATTTGTTTGATTCAGAAGTACCTGTTGTTGGCTCAATGGAGAAATAGGGTTGCCCAAGGAGTAGGCTGTAGAGGAGACGAGCATTATTGCCGCTGGAAGTATCATCAGCATCACTAGCTGTCACCTGGATGACAAAGGTTCCTGAAGAGAATATACACAGTGTCATGACAACAAGATGCTGGTCATACTCAACAGTGACCTCAACTCTGTAAAGCATTTGTTCTGTTGCTAGAAATATATGATCATACAAGTAAAAGACTTGCCCATCTTTTATTATGAAATATAAGATAAATTTATATCTGCACAGAAAAAAATAGGGTAACCTAACCTAGAGCCTTATAACTTTATAACCCCAATTCCCACATCCAATGTAGATTTTTTTAAATGTAGCTTTATCACATTATAAAATGTCTACATTAAATAATGTATTACGATTTTCAGCTAAAGATGTTTACAAGGGTTGTCATTAATGGAGATATCAAAAATGCTTTTCTTCAAAAGCCACATTGTGACATGCACCTACAACAAATTGCAAAATGGTGACGAGTTATTTATAAGTATTATTTAAATAAACTTGACAGAGCTTCAAGGCAAGGATGGGCATATCTGTTTGACTGCTTAAATCTTTTCTAGAAAAATGTGCTTGTACTGAAAGATTAAACCCAAGGCAAAGTGAATTCCAGCAATTATTATTCTCATTAATATTTAGCAATCAGTAAAAATCATAGGGGATTCACATTTGTACATTTAAGAATAATGCTCAGGCAAAATATCTCCAAATAAATATAAATTTTAACGCAAACATTAAGTCTAACACTATAAATTTTATTGAAAATTAACTTTTGTTGAAATGCAATGCTTTGTGTCAGTCAGAATGACATCATAAATGATGCAAAATCAAATACCCTGTGTTTATTTTGTTCATTTTTAATTAGCATCATGTATTTTCCCATTATAATAGAATGCTATAAACTGATACAATCTAATAACAAGCCATTCTGTTCTTCAGTAATAAAATTGTTCAAACTCTTACCATGGCCCCCAGCCAAATGCATCCTTTGCTTATTTTTGGATTGTTGTTAGTTGTTTAATATTTATACACATTGGAATTGGGGCAAAGGTGAGGCTTTAGAGGAGTAAGCGTTAATAGTGTCAGAAATTCACAGGAGCAGTTCTATCCTGTCCTATAGGCTCGTGAAGAGTAGGAATTGACTTGATGACAGTGAATGATAGCAATGATATATTGGAATATTTACTTTTCTGAAGAACTGATGGTTAAAATTCATAAATAAATAATTTTTTTAAAAAGTCTGTAGTCCTGATGAAAGCAAACTGTCCCCTATTTGGTCGGCAAAGTGACTGGAGGGATTGGCGGTTAACCTCTCAGTGTGTAGCCTCTCACTTAACCATTGCTTCTCCAAGCTTCACACCTTACTCGCCTTACCCAACTCCTCACAAATCAACACAACTGTTGTCAGGTGCTATTTTAGTTCCCACTGCCAGCAACCCTATTCACAACAGCCCTATTTAGGAAACCCCACCAGGTCTGAGCCCAACTTCACAACGGTCAAGTCTGAGCCCATGATTGGAGCCACGGTGTCAGCCAGCTTGTCAAGGGTCTTCCTCCTTGGCCGCCCTTCTACTTTTCCAAGGGACCGGCCTCTCCTGAGCACATGTCTAGAGCACATGAGAAGAAGGCTCACCATCCTCTCCTCTAAGAAGCACCTGCCGGTATTTATTTTAAGAGAAAGATGTTCATTATTTTGCCAGTCCAGTGTACATTTCATGTTCTTCACTTGGATCATAATTCATCCTTCTTTGATGTTGAATTTTCACACGCATAGGATGGTGGCTAAGAGTCTATGGCAGTGAGATGCAGTATTTGTGTTAGATATTTTAAAATACATTTGTGTAGTAATTGTGAGGAGCCATCCAAACAAGTAATCTCATAGAAAACTCTAACTCAATCAGTTTGCATTGTTTAGAATTTGGAAGCATCTACTCACTCCTTCTTTGTTTCATTGTTATGCTTCTATTTCAATTCTATCCTTGAGGATTCTTCATTCCTGATTTGGACAATTAACACCTTTCCCTAGCTTCAGCAACCATTGTCTAAACCTGACTGTTAGTCGCTGAGGAAACCAAACGCAGAATTACCGAAGACTTTAGACTGCCTAACATAACACAATACAAATGAGAACTAGACAGACCAAGAAAAGGAGAGGGTGCACAGGAGGTCACCTCAGCCTTCGTGGATACAAATACGCATTCCGGCACCAGTTGCTGTTCCCAGTCAATTGGTTTTCTTTCTTCTTATTTTTAACATACTTTTATGGATGTTTTATTTACATCTGCTAACCAAAAACTTACTTCATTTTCTAATATGTCAGTCTTTGCTTTCTGCTAAATGAAAACCCAAATATAATCTGTTAGTGGATCATATAAAACAATTTCCCTTAGCATGTGGAAAATAAAAAAAGTCAAACTCAGGAAATTCATCAGTAAAAACAGTGTGATATTCTAAATATTCAGACTACTTCACTCAAATTAATTTAACTTTCTAAGAAAACGTGTTCAGTAATTCTTAGGACACTTAAAAATACAGGGTCAAACACATAAAATTAGGTTGACTCTAAATTTGTCTATGACTCTTAGTGCTTGCACATGAATTAATGGTTATCCGCTTCTTCACTATTTATACATCTGTATGTGGACATAAGCAAGAAGCCCTGGTGCTGCCAACCAAAGAATCTGTGATTCAAGCTCATCATGCCCTCTGAGGGGGGAAAATGAGGCTTTCTGCTCCTTCAAAGGTGTATAATCCCAGGAACTATTCTACTCCATCTTATATAGGGTCATTTTGAATCAGGCTGAACTCAGTGACACTGTACACATATATCATAAAATAAGAAATGTTAAATAAATGAAAGTGATAAAAATGATAGTGTTTCAAAAGGACACATAGCTTTGTTTTAAATTTAATTAAAGCTTTGTTAATATTTTTCTAAATTTCAGATGGTTCTTGTGTTGTTGTCATTGTCGTGGTATGCAATCCAGCCGACGGTGACTCGCAGGGACACTGTGTTGTTGTTGTTGTTGCAATTGGTGCAGTAGAGTCAGTTCTGACTCGCAGGGACACTGTGTTGTTGTTTTTAGAGTTGGTGCAGTAGAGTCAGTTCTGACTCGCAGGGACACTGTGTTGTTGTTGCTGTTGTTGTTACAGTTGGTGCAGTAGAGTCAGTTCTGACTCGCAGGGACACTGTGTTGTTGTTGTTATTACAGTTGGTGCAGTAGAGTCAGTTCTGAATCTCAGCAACCCTGTGCAGAATAGAATCAAACACTGTGCAGTCTTTCATCATCTTCACAGTTATGGGTAAGCCCATTCTTGCAACCACAGTATAAATCCATATACTTAGTGATCCCATTGATCATAGAAGACATGGTACGACTACCCACAGAGGTCTTTTGTCTAATGCCTGCCTCAAAGGGCTTGGAAGTACTGAGCTACCTCTAATTGTATTATTGGGGATGCCATTCCCTTGCAATAACTTCATATATATTCAGACGTGTATGTCTATCTGTCTAGGAACCCTTGTAGTGGAGTCTTTAAGTGCTCGACTACTGTCAAAATCAGTTCAAAACCAGCAAGTGCTTACTGGAAGAGAGAAGTGGCAGTCTGATTTTGTAACCATTATAACTTTGGAAACCCTATGGAGGGGTTCTACTCTGACTTATTCTCTGTGAGTCAAAATAGGCTTGAGGACAATAGTTTTTTTTATGTATAAAAGGGAATGTGTGTGTGGGGGTGAGTGTGTGTGTAAGAGTGTGTGTGTAAGAGTGTGTGTGGGGTGGTGGTGGTGATTGAACCATGAAATTTACCACCACATAGTTTATCTTTAAATATTTTTATACTGCTTCTGAATAAACAATATGTATTCCAATTCTCTAATATCATCATCTTGGTGTTAAACTTTTCACTATTTCATATATTTAAATAAGTGTTTTAATATTTTCTGTTTTAGACTTTAAAGTTTAGATGTTCTATTATCATTTGTAGATCCTAAACTGAAACATTTTTCTATATTTCTCTTGTATTTTACAAATATTAGATATTTTATTTTATTTTTGTAAACCTAAATTTTGATACCATATTTTTCTTCTTCTGCCTGAAGAATTCTCTTTAAAATTTCTTGTGCCACAAAACTCTTGACCTGATTACTCTCACCTTTTGTTTTTTTGATTGAGTGTAATTAATTAAAATGTATTTTTGAAATACTGATTTAGTGCTATGACTTTTGGTTATATTTTTTTCTCTGTATGTAATACTATCAATCAATTTCTCTTTAGAAGGATGGTCTGTGGTAATTCTTATATTTGTTCCCCTAAAGGAATTGTGTCTCTTTTGTGTAAGATACTATAATTATTCTTATTAGTCATTGGATTTTAATAATTTAAAATCATGTGACTGTGTCTGGATTATTATTTTTTAAGAAATTGCTTGGGCTTGTTTGAGTTCCTTCAATCAGCTTAAATAGTTTTGGAATATTCTGGGCTTTTATCTCTTTATTTTTCCTCCCTGGTTTTTTGCTTTTGTTATCTCCCTCTGGGACACTAATTTCATCTACTTTAGGCTATGTAATATTGTCTCATTACCCATGGAGGTCTTACTCTTTTTAATCTGTATTTCTATTTTCTCTCAAAGACTCTGTGATAAGTTCATATCATTGGTAGTATCTTGTAACAGGGAAGGGGTTAAAACTTCACAACTGATGTTTTATATGCCTTTGAGTCAGTTCTGACTCAAGATGATCCTATAGGATAGGGTAGAACTGCCTCACTGAGTTTCGAAGACTGCTATAGTTATTGATTTCAAACTGCCCTTGTGCCACAAGGCTCCTAATATAACTTTCAAAACCTCCATAAAAATTACCATCTAATCAGTTATGACTCTTAACGGCCACATGGAACGACCACAGGATAGGAAAACATCCTACAATGTCCTGGGCTATAATCTTCAGAAGAACAGAGCACCAGGACTTCTCACTTGCTGTAGCTGGTGGGTTCAAGGCACCACTTTTACAATTTGCCACTGGGAGCACTTTTCCACTGTACCATCCAGCTCTTTATCTTTAACTCGTTTC